ATCAAAACAAGATGGCGGCGCCCAGCTGATGTCGGTACTGGGCCGCGCCATAAAAAAGGTTGGGGATACCGGGCCGCGGCGTAAAAAAGGTTGGGGATCACTGTTCTACAGGACAGCTATTGCATTTTGTACCACTTGCATCTTCTGGATACTTTTTAAATGTAATTCCAACAGAATGAGTTGTACTAATCAAGCAGAATGAAACCAAACATTATTCTCCTTCTGTTATGAAGAGCTGAGCCTACTGAGTGTTGGAGTAACTTTTCCCTTGAATCACTTTTCATTCATTGAAGAGGTCTGTGAGTTATAAAATATTTTGCTAAAGATGAAAAAATTTCTATGAGAAAGAAGAAATCATTCTGCCTGAATAATGTGGATTACGATGCAATAATTTCCGTGATCTTTTAAGATCATATGTAACTAATGTGCTTTTATAATATTAGTTTTATTTGTTTTATTAAGCATTCCAGAATTAGAGGTTGTTGGTCTAGTGAACCATACACAGAGGATCACTAGTTTTCCTCTTCTAAACAGAAATCTTTTTCAGGTGTTCATTTTGCATTCAAAAAGAATGTTACATGTGACCTTCCTTTTGGAATTTCACTGGATAAGGAACAAATTTGAGTGAACATGGGTTAGAGCTGCTATTACCAAACCTACCTCCTGATTGTAAGGGCAGCGAAGGACAATACTTCAACAGAAAAACACATTTGGAAGGGACCTTGGGGGTCATCTAGCCCAATACCCAGCTAAAGCATGAGATCCTGTATTATTTCAGGCAAATGATTGTCCAATCTCTTATAAATTTCCAGGGGGGGGAGGGACACACAACTTCTAGAAGCAAGTTGTTCCACTGATTAATTGTTCTGTCAGGAAATTTCCCCTTAGTTCTAGGCTACCTCTCTCCTTGATTAGTTTCCATCCAATGCTTGGTATCCTGCTTTCAGCTGTTTTGGCCAATAGTTGACCCCCCTCTTCTTTGTGGCAGCCCCTTAGATATTGGAACAGTATCTTGTCATTCCTAGTCCTTCTTTTCATTAAACTAGGCATGCCTATTCATGTGTTTTAACTTCCAGTCCTCTGATCATTTTGTTGTTTTCCTCTGCGCTCTTTCTAGAGTCTCAACATCTTTTTTATATTATGGTGAGAAAAACTGGATGCAGTATTCCAAATGTGGTCTTACCAAGGCATTTTAAAGTGGTACTAACACTTCATATGTTCTTAATGCAGCCTAGGACTGAGTTAGTGTTTTGGGAAGCTGCAGCACACTTATACTTCATATGATTGTCCACTAGGATTCTAAGAACTCTTTCTGATTGAGCCAGGTGCCACCTATTCTATAACTCTACATTTAGTTTTTCTTGCCTAAATATAGAACCTTACTTTTCTCAACACTGGGTTTCATTTTGTTACGTAGGGCCAGTGTTCAAGTGTGTCAAGATGATTCTGTTGGTTGAACCTATCTTCTGGAGTATTGGCTATTCCTACCAGCTTGGTGTCTTGCAAATTAGATAAGTTTTTACTGTTACTGCATCTACCAATAGCTATCCTGCAGTCTTGTTCAGGTAACATATGCCCTCTTGATGGGGTCAAGCACCTTGTAGGAATTCTTCTACAAGGCCATGCAGAACTGTTGGCCAGCATTTATCAGATAAAATCAGTCAGATTTGTTTTCTATTGAATGTTGGCCTTGCTACAGATCTTAGATAGATGCCCAAGGCAGATTCTTGCTATTTTAAATGGTATCAGTTTGAACATGTTGAATCTGAAGACAAGATCATTTTTCATTTGTAATGATCTCTGATGTTGCTGGGTTAGAGATTGTGCATCCATCCTTGTTCTTCTTGGCCTTCAGTACCATTGATCATGGTTTCCTTCTGGATCAGGTCTAGGAGTTGGTTGGGGAAATCAGCTCTTAGAGATGGGTGACACTTTGTTTTGCTGGTTCTCCTTTTTTCAGCTTCATGGGTGTTCATGGTGGCTGGGAAGAAGAGATCCTGTTCTCTTTCTCTTCTTTGTGGGGTTGCACATGGTTCTGCACTCTCTTTTTCTTCTTCATTACTTACCTGAAGTGGTTACAAACTATGGTATCATCAGTCTGCAAATGTGCATTTACAGCACATTTTTATTAAGTAATACTTGTTCTTAAATGCCCATGAAAGGGAATTTTCCAGTTCTTAACATTGGCTTGGCCAGGAGTTTTATTCATTTTATGATTGGATGAAGGAAATGATCATCTTTACTTGAGTACCACTTGCAAATATAACAGTGTTGAACATTCCCTATGATGCCAATTTTCATCTATAACTTAGAAGATTATATATTTTGATACACAATACACATCTTTGTGGTATTGTGTTTTCTACATAGCATTCGTTAACTTCCAGAATGCTATATTTCTTAGAGCTAAGGTGAATGTGAAAAACATTTTCAGGGAGAAAATAAATTTTGGAAGCCTAACATTTTTCCCAATACATTTTTTTTAAGTTAGCTTTCTTTCTTTTAGAGACTTACAGTCTTTCAATCAACTGTTTTTGTTTTGACCTAAAACTCATTAAAATAAGGTTAGATATATTTTGAAAGTAAAGACAATATCTTTTGGAAATTATTATTGTTTAGATGTCTGTCAGCATTATTAAAAATTTTTACACAGCAAGTCAGCCTAAATTAAGCGGTAGTTAAAATTAGATGCAGATTGGATCAAGATGGGCAGAAAAGAAGAAATTGGCTTGGGTATAAATGTTTGGAAGCTGATCCATTAGGGCTGGACTGTCAAACTCCTAGCCCGTGGGCTGGATGCGTCATGTGTTGGCCATACCATGCCTGGTTTAGCAAAGGGGGAAAAGTCCCAATACGTCACATGACAATGACATGAGTTTGACACCTGTGTATTAGAGCTAGACCAGGTTCATCTACTTGCTGTCAGGCTACTCCTAACTTTCTATTTCTTTATAATTAACTCAGTTTGATAATTGGTTATCAATCTTCTCCTTTGTCAAGTTATCAGTGTCATATTTTTGGAATTCTCTCTGCAAAGATGCATACATTTGCTCTGCAAAGATACATACATTTGCTTCTTAAAGGAGAATGAAGGTCAGTGCTCACCTGTGCTTGTGAAAAAGAAATGGAGTAATAAGGGCAGAGATATTGTCAGGCTTGATCAGTAATTTTTAGTAAAAATCAGGTTTTCACAGCAGCTTTCAAGATACTTATATTGTTCCTATCTTCCCATCATTTAAAAAGTAGTTAAACATATGTTCATTGCTTTACTCCTTGGGTAAGGATGGCGAATTGATACAGGTATCTTCAGGTATGGTTGTATAATTACAACCATTCATTTAGCGACCATTTGAAATTACAATGCCACTGAAAAAGGTGAGTTACAACTTACACTTAGGACTGTTACAGTATCCCCATGGTCATGTCATCACCATTTACTAACTTTCTAACCATGCTTCTGACAAGCACAGTTAATGGGGAAAGCCAGATTGCTTAACAGCTGCATGGTTCATTAAATAACTGCAGTGATTTTCTTTAACATCATGGCAAAAAATGGATACAACTCAATAACTGTCTTGCTTAGCAATGGAAATTCTGGTCTCATAAAATTATGGACTCTATGTAGTAGTTTTTTTTCCTATTCAGTTATAGTTATAAACATGTTTCTGGTCTGTTTTCTGTTTGGATTAGAGCGTTTTTTTAAAAATCTTTATTGCTATAAGCTATCGGGTCAACCTTATAACCTTGATAATCAAGGATGTCAGTTGTTGGGAAATCTAGCATCCAACTATGATATTACAAGTTTCTGACTTGTCTCATTCCTGATTGCAAGATGAAGGTTTTATACATACTGATAATGAAGGAAAAGTTCAACGTCTCTTACAGCAGCTTCTCTTTCTCCAAACATTTTCAGCTGGCCAGGCTGGGAACAGTTTTCATGAAATAACTGTTTTAGTTGTTTAATAATTTTATTAAATTTTATAAACTATACACTAAATGTACTAAATGTATTTATGTACTAAAACATAAACTAATATTAATTTGTAATCATATAATTTCTGAAGTTGCTTATTTTTGCATCGTAAGGCTATGCAAGACATTTGGAAAAAAAACTCTACAAAAGATACTACCAAACTAAGTTTTCTCAAAACTTCACAGTAGATACACTATTTGGAAGAAGTGCAAGGTTGAAGGCTGCCCCTAGCGATGATGCACAGCTGCTTCACCGGCACTTTTAGAAAAACAATGGGGGACATGTCTTTGAAACAGACATAACATTTCTTTAAAACGTAGCTGGCTTAATATTTCAAGGACTGCTGCTTGATTGGCTTGGCTTCCTTTGTAGATATCCAATCATCAAGAACTTACTTTTTTTTCTTTTCAAAATGGAGAAGTGGGAGGATGCCTAAACGCATCAGCAAAGCAATCTGCCAATTGCAATATTGCTGTATTGGGAAGTTGGTTCTCCATTGGCTGGTGGTAGAGGGAGGATCAAGCAAAGCCGGAGGGTTTGCTTAGTATTTCTTGCACACCCAGAATCAGAATACCACCATTTGCTGGCAAAGCAGAATAGAGGTAGGTTAAGAATTTATGCATTTTACACCAATATAACTGTTTGCCTATGTTGACCAGATAGAATTTCTGTGTTGCTGTATTGCTTTTATTTTCCTTTATATTTTAAATTGTCTATACACAGTGGTAAATCATGCATTTTATTAATATTATTTTCAGAATTACATTTTGATTGGGTACTTTTATCCAATTAACTTCTGTGAAATGCTTATAATATTTTTTGACTATTTCATTTTTTCCCTACAGTTGCATTGAAGTCAAGGAGCTTAGCAAAACCTGAAACAAATAGCATGCAGGACAGCAATAGCACCTTGCAGACCAGAGGGAGAATGCATATGCTAGAAGGTGAACTTTTGTTGCAGGTAATTATCAGAATTACTATGAATATTTCAAAGGAATTCCTTGCAGCAATATACAAAAGAACTTCATCGTATAAAATGTCTTGGGTCTGCCCAGTTATTATTATTCTTAATACAGTTTTAGAAGTGTCCTTGGAGGTTTTCTTCTTCTTTTGTTGTTTCTTTTTTTTTTTTTTACCTTTCCTTTGTTTTCCTACTTCAGTCAAAGGAATCATTTCACCAGTTTCATGGACTTCTGAATTACTAATCTCTTAACAAATTTCTTGCTATTTGAGGAATTATTCTCAATTGTCCAGATCATTAATGTCCCAAAGGTGCTTTTCCAAAAGGAAACTGGACTTAACTTTTTTTCTTTCAAAACTTTTCACTTCTCTTCCAAGAAACTTTTTTTGTTCTTTAGAATAGAAGAAACTTCTTGGATGAGAAGCGGAAATGCTTTCAAAGAAACCTCCCCCACCTTCTCCAAGAAAGTCCAGTTGCCTTTTGGAAAAGCACTTTTGGGAATCATAATTCATTTCTCCACTGATTTAACAGGACCACATTCTCTTTCTCAGCCCAGATTGTAGTAGTAGATGATTTATAAATAAATACATTTTGCTTGGCAATTAAACAAATGTTGTATAATAGTTTGGTTACAATTCTTCTAGCAACAAATTGCAGTTGTTTCCTTAATAGATCAAACTAAGGGACATTATGCTTGCTTGATTCTTATTTTGTGCAATATATGAATCTACCCACTGTTAATTTTTATGTATGATTTTCTGAAAATTCATGATTGAAAAATCTCACTTTAGTGCCATTTAGCCACTGTATGTCAATACTCTAAAAACTACATTTAAAAAAACCCCTCAGTCTCTCCTTGAATCCTTCTGGTCGCCTATCAGGTTTTGCATTTATATTTAACTCTTATGCCTGTGTTAAAAATAAAAAGCCTCCCAAAACTTAAAATGTTTTTTTCCAGATTTTTTTCAATTTCATCCCCTTGGTCCGTTAAACAACTATTCATAAAAACCAGTGTGCTTTGTAAAGTATTACTTTAAAGTAAGAGGCTAGAATTGGAAAGATAATTCTGCTGCTTTGTTGGGTGTGTTCACAAAGTGCTGTTAAATATATCACACTATGGCTATTTTGTGTACTTGTAAATTGTTCATGCATGATTTTTTTTTTAAATCATATTGCTGTTGTCTTCAGGCATTAAATGGCTTTGTGCTAGTGGTCACATCAGATGCCCACATATTTTATGTGTCTTCTACAATCCAGGATTATTTGGGTTTCCAGCAGGTATGCACTTTAATTATACATTTTAAAAAAAAAAATCATATTATTACTATGTTGTTGTTATTTAATGAAATGCAACTTTTTTTAACATCACTTCCTTGGTTCACTGAAAAAATAGTGCAGTGTATAAACAATCCAGAAAGTTGTGTCATTTCTATTCACTTTCACTATTCATTTTTCTCTTTGTTCAAAATGTTTTTTCCAGACCTGTTAACTTCTCAGAGTAAGTTAGTGAGTTAAATTGTCCTCAGTAAATGTCCCTGCCTAATGACATCTACTGCTTGCACAGATAACAAGCATTCAATTTTAATATAGGAGGCCTTAAAATTAGGAAATGTTATTAAAAAGGCAACATGGTGGCTTAAAGATATGTTAAAAGTTTTTAAACTATTAAATAATGTAAGTTTTGATTCCAAATTATATCCTATAATCCTCTTCTGTGGATGAATGGGCTAACAATAGATTCATTTTCATGTTCACATCTGTTCTAAAGAAACCCCTTTAAGATTTCTTTCTTTTCCACATACTTCTAATTATCAATTGAAGAGAATATTTGGAGTTCATACTTGAAGTGTGGTATCCTTGGTGCTCTTTGAGCTTGGTTGTTTTGGCTACAGACCTTGGTTGTTTTCTTGCAGATAGTGAAACGTCTGCAAAAAAAACCCCAACCAACGTCAGAAGGCACCAAGGACCCTACATTTCTAGATTCTAGATGTTTAGTCTATCCTATGCTTAGTCTATCCTTTCTTCACTGCAACGTCTGCAAAAAAAAACAACCAACCAACGTCAGAAGGCACCAAGGACCCTACACTTCTAGATTCTAGATGTTTAGTGTATCCTATGCTTAGTCTATCCTTTCTTCACTGGTAGTATTGTTCCAGAATGATTTTTTTTTTAAATCTAACTTATACAGCAAGGTTTTTTTTCCATGTAAATCATTTCCTTGTGTTATTTTTCAATTATACTGAGATAAACTGTAGTGCTTATTTTCTAGTAATCAGATTTGGTGAGTAAATGGCTGAAATATTTTTATTATTATTTCTTTGATATAGTCTGACATTATACACCAGTGTGTATTTGAATTAATTCACACAGAGGATAGACCAGAATTCCAGCGTCAGATTCACTGGGCTCTTAATCCTATACAGTCCTCAGATTCTGGACAGATAATGCAAGGTGAGGAATCAAATAGCTGCAAGTAGTTACAGTGCTTCAATTAAAAAGTTAATCAGTTTAAAATTTACAGGTAATTGAAGAGGTATTTCATAATGCATTTGCCACTTTACATCAGATGCCCTATATAAAAATGCCCTTAATTTTATGCACCTGTCAGTTTTTAAAGGAAAAGTTTACAAAACTGCAATCTCTTCAAGAAGAAATATAATTTGGAGCAGATAGAAATAATAACTACCACTTATTTCTTAAGTATATGTCAGATTTATAAAATATATATGAAATATATACTTTGCTCATAAAAGTATTTTTGGTACATCAAATTTAAAGGTTTAATTTATTCATACAATAATTGTAAATTAGAATTGATTTTCGATATGTGAGATGGATGGATGGTACAGATAAATTGATAGATGTGATAGATAGATAGATAGATAGATAGATAGATAGATAGATAGATAGATAGATAGATAGATAGATAGATAGATGATAGATAGATAGACAGATGGAAGATAGATAGATAGATAGATAGATAGATAGATAGAT